TGAATGTAAACCAATATAATTAATATAAATCGTATGGGGTGGAAACTTCAGGGTCGTGGTTCCCAAATGCACATCTTCTTTACAAAGATATTGTAAGGAGGATGGTTGACACTTCAGGTGATCGAAGGGCTGGCTACTACCTTGGGCAAAGGTTAAACATTGCCATTCAATGTGGCAATGCTGCCAGTCTTTTGGGCACCCTACCTCACGATAGCGATGAGGAAAATTTTTTATTGATGCCTTAAGATAGCATTTTTATTTACCTACATATATGTACAGTTCAAAAAAAAAAATACCTAATTGTACTCATCCTAAATTTATCTTTGATTATTTCAATGTAAGTTGTTTTTTATATTTATTTTTTTTAGTATTTATAATTTACCATAATTGTATAATAATTAGACTACTGTTACATCTTTTGGAAGTTTTTGTGTTTAATAAACGATTTTTATTTATTTATTGTTTATTATTTTTATGTATTTAAAATTCTCTACAAATTACATTTTTAAATACTTACTACTTATAAAATAAAAAATAATATTTAAAAATATAAAAAATAGGAGCCGACCAGTAGCGGGAGCATGGTCCAAGCTACCGGTGGTTAGGGCTCCAGAGACAGAAACCTCCTCACGAAACGTGCTGTTTCTAGGAGAAGTGCCTTCTGTATCAGGCCCTTGATCCATCCACGTAACGCCAGCCTCCTAAGATGGATGTCGAGGCTTTTAGGGATTAACCCATTGGCCGACACTACTATCGGCACAATGATAACCGAATCCACACTCCACATGTCGACAACCTCGTGAGCTAAGTCTAGATATTTTATTTGTTTACCTTTCTCAGGTTTCACGAGGTTCTCGTCATTTTTATTATTATTACTTTTTTTAAGGTGTAAATATTTTAGTTCATAACTAGTTATTTACCTATATTTTAAGTTTTATATTTTCATTTAGGTAGTAATATTTAATATTAATTTTATTTATCTCCAATAAAAGTAGAACACAATGTTTGTAAACTATAAATAAAAAAACAAAAATTAATATAAATATACATATGTATATTATTGACAAAATAAATGTAACTAACAAACAAATATATATTATAATAAATATAAATGTATTAAGTACCTACCCAGTTAAACTCATAAATAAATGTAATCTTCGTCTCGTATCCAATATTTAAAATTTTAAAAAGTGCTCTTCATCCTCTCCTCTATAAAAAAGCTACTTTTGCTGTGCCCGACAGGGTCTATAAATGTTTCTGTAACAACCTTAACTTTGTACCAATTTTTATGTTGTAACAATGCCAACTGTTGTACAATACATTATGGAATGCAATTAAATATTGAGTATTAAATCAGTAGATTTACCTACTTACGAGTATCTCTATAGGTAATTTACCTAGGTACGTAAATAATATTTTTTGTATGTAAATTCATTTCTATGTTCAATATAATTCACTGTTAGCGCCGTGGTTGGGCAACCGGCTGCAGCGAAACGTATCACAGGTTCGAGTCGACCCCGCACAGAACAACTCTTTGTGTGATCCACAAATTGTTATTCCGGCTCTGGGGTCTGTATCTGGAGATGTTTGTAAACGTACCCACGACCACGACACAAGACACACACCATGGGCTCAAGGTGGGGCAGCGGTATAAAATGTTATGTAGCGAGCAAATTATACCTAGTTAATGTTACCCTGGTTAATATTTAATACAAATAAAGTACAGCCTACTGTAGCACCATGCATCTTCATACATGCGTATGAAGATCGTGTACATACATGCGTAGGTATGTACACGCAAAAAGTAAGCAGTATTGAATCTTTTGTACCAGCATTTACTATAATTTGATTTTTTATATGTGATTGGCCGACGTTTAGCTACTATCCAATCTCGCCATTAGCAATCTATTCCCACGGGCCGTGAAAACACCCAGGTACACAGACTCTGGAAACACAAACTGACAAATAATTCCGCTCGCTTGAAGCGAAGCGCTTCGTGCGAGTGAGTGGGATATCCACCATGAAGCGGTGGCGCTTCGCCGATAGTATTATGATACGATTATCCAATGGACTAGGGAAATTAAGTTTTGCAATATCCTTACACACTCACCGAAATGCTTAGTGCTTGTGAGCTATGAGATGATTTTTGATTTGATCGCGACTTTAGGGCTCCGCTTCGTTAAGACGCCATTTCGACGACACCAGTCGCATCATCCTGGTTACTCATTTGATCGGCACCAAGTTAGCCCCACAGCACCCCGACAAGTCGACACCCAAATTTAAATGCCAAAAAGAGTCCAAATACTCAGCTGACTGGTGACTGAGTAACCGAGGTGTAGTTTACTCGCGTATAATTATTATAGTGTAGCCAGTGCCAGTAACCATGTACGCAGCCGCATGTCGTGGCCAAACTTCCAACTGTGTGGCAGACAAAGCGTCGAAAAATGAGTTAAATAAATTAAATATTTCAGTATTTATTGCATTTATGAGGATGGGAAATCATCCAATGCAATACAATCCATTTTGATCATATTTTTTTCGAATTTTGAGAATATGATAGAGGTGTAGTGTAGTGTAACTACAGGGCTTCCACCACCGGACCCAGCTACATTTTGAAAGTGATCTATAAGTCTACAGCATACCAAATTACCAATGATATCATCTGGTCCAAAATACCAAGCTACAAACCTGGATGAGTTCCTATCGCTTGGAAAACAATTGTACCTGAATACGTTTGATATCTATTACCTCGTGCCCTAATACCTACCATGAATAACACCGAGATCGGTACATACTTGAAGATTTTACTCTTAAATGTGTACGTATACTAGTGTTAGTATTAAATAAAACCAAATATTATGTACCATATATTTCAAAACAGGGACGTCACATAACCGCATCGGGCGAAAATTGGTAAAACAAATGCATTGTACCTAAAAGCCATCCTATAATACCAAGTGATCAGTTGTGGGCAAAATGGATTGGCCACGAGGCTTGTGAACGCATGAAGTTAAGGAGCCATAAATGTTGGTGTGAGATTGGGTCGCACAATGCGTGAATTACTAACCGTATCAATTTTTCAGTGAGAAGCCTCTCGAGGCGCCGCGGCGGCGGCAGAGAGCCGCGCGCCGCGATCGATGAGCGTCGCACCCCTCCACGGGGCCTGCGTGCCGCCGCACTGGTAGTCGGTAGCGGTACTGCTACATCGCATATATTGTTGACATTAGGCGGCCCGCGGCACCAGTGCTCGCTCGTCAGTAGTCGGCCTTCATCAGAATCGATGAATTATGATCGCACTAGTTTCGCAGGTTACCTTCAGAAATTAAACAATGAAGACACACCGGACGATACCTCACTACCTAATGTAAGTCGGTAACAAACAAACACACATAGGTACGCATCCTCACAAACTTTCGCATATATAATAAGTACTTATATATTTTTTTTTAGGGGGGGAAAATCATCGAATGACTTCTCCCGCCTGGGTGAGGCGGGAGGGAGTGTCAGACTCTTACTTATTGACTAAAAACCACCCCGTTCCTTTTCCTACACTTCGAGGTGGAGCCCCGGTAACCCGTTAGGTTCTCCGCGACTCCGTATCGGCATCAGCCCTATTGGGCCCCACCCGTAGTGATCTCGTGGCTCTTTGAGGCGCGCGCGGAACGCGACGCGCCGTACGCTCGGATCTGGTTCTGGTCGGGCGGCGCCCGGAGATCGTCCCGCGATCCCCGACGCCCGGTGTGTCCTTCGCGACGTCTGGGTTGCGAGGAGACGGTGCTTCGCGGCCTCATGCGCCCGCCTCCTCCTTAGCTAGCATGACTGCTTCGCAAAAGGAGGAGACGGCATCTCAGTCCCCCTCGCTCCGCATCATGGTCCGCACTAGGGCCGGACGCGATGTCGCCGTCGCCGATCACGTCCCTGAGAGCACGGCGGTGCTCTGTCCACGCAGAGCATTCTCCGACTATGTATTCCACCGTGTCCTCAGGGCAGTCCTCGCAGTAATGACACCCGGGCGTTTCCTCCCGCCCCATCAGACAGGTACCTCCCG